ATAGAGATCTGTCGCTGTAGTACCCATATCAATAAGGAAATGGTCATAGATAAACATTTTAAAGTTACATCGTAGTACAAATCTTGATTTAATGAAAAATGTCCGAATCAAAAGAATATTTAAATTTACCCTGTTCCTTGAAAATAATAACACAAATTAAACTTTGGCCGTGAACTAAACTAGTTTTTTTGATTAGAAACTATTTCTTCTATATTAATTCATAGTTTCTATAAATGTTTGGGAGTTATTAAAATGGAAAATATTTCTTAGGCAAGACAGATATTACAGCTGTTCAAAGAATGAGATTATGTCGCCAACAAAAAAGTAAAAAAAAAACAAGCAGTCAATGAATGTATGTTAATTTTAATTACATGAAGTTCTTCAAACACAAATATTATATGATGATGAGTGGAGTTGCGAAAACTAAATTTGTTAAGGCGTTGTTTAACATAATTCACTGTGTGAACAAATATTAAAGAATTTGTTAATCAGTAATTACTTCATTTCTCTAATGAAAGTTCATTTCTAAATGCTAATTGCAGTGACAAACCGATCTCGTCATATTTGGAGTATGACTTTAATTACATTATTGTTTTTAAATATTATACATATTTTTAATGCTATTATAAATATTTAATTTATAATTTATCATTATATAAATGTGTATAATGGTTGACACTCATAAATGTGTGCATCACGAGTGTTACCATATTACTAATAAACATTATTCAAAATTGTATATAGTATTTATTTTTACTTAAATGCCATCTTGTACAGTAGCAAATAAGTTTTACTTCAATCGCGTGTGAACCTTACGCGCACTCTTTTTTGTTTTTTTAAGTATTTATTTTACTAAAGAATTTTAATTCAGTTCATGGTTGCAGTAAATCCGCATAACTCTAGTTGCTGTAAATATAGTAAAGTAACTGTAAATTATTAATATAGTAATTAAAGTTCATTTTAATACTGTTTCTGCATACAAACGTGTTTCATATCTCATCGAGCAAATAATCACATAAATACACTAAAAGGAATATCATGAAAGTATGAAAGTTGCCGTTCAACTGATAATATAAATTACGCCAAGTGAAATGAGAAATCAAAGAAGTTCATGGATGGATTAAATGATAATATTTTAATATTTATTATAGAAGTGCATTTTTGTATGAATATTTTAATATATTTGCTGTATGCCCCCGAAATAGTTTACCACTGGTTATGTATAGGGATAAGAAGTCGGTATTTTCTTCAGTATGTGAAAACTGTCTTGTGGGAAATCGATAAATAAGATCAAGTTATGAGATATGGTGATAAAATAGACTCAGACAGTAAATATTTCACATTTTATCCCTACTTCCAAAGTACTTCTTCTGAATTTTTATATGTCTAAAGTTTTGCTTTATCTATATGGAGAGACTTAGTTCTTAAATGAATTATAAAGAGTTGTATTTATTATATTATATTTATTTTATATTGCCATTTAATTCCACTAAATTACATTTTTTCTGGCTTATATCACAAAACAGATTCATAAAAACGTGATAAAACACAAATAAGTCTAGCATGATCATGGTATAACTTTGTTAAGAATTCTGGAAAAATTTGACATTGAGCTGATGTAACGTTAAAAATAACTTTGGTAGAATTTTCAATGTCGATGTATTAATATTCATAATTTCATAATTAGATACGAAATCGAAATGCTATAATAAATTATGGTATAAGTTTGGGATATAGAGTTTAACAGATTTCAGTATTGATTAAGAGTTTATTTATAATAAATATTTTTTTGAATTACAACGATTATTTGGAATTACAACAGTCTGGGCTTTATATATTATACATAATATATTAATCTTGATGCAAATTGAGTGGTTGAACAGCTTGAATTTTAGGTAAAATGGCATATTTATAATATTTTAACCATGGAAGTGGCATCAGTGGAAAAACACGTTAGGAAAGTTTTCCAAAGTTTTTTAGGCCCGTCTTAAAAAACGTGTGATACATAGAAAAACAATTTAGCATCACCTCAGTTCGACCTTTGGTAATTGATATTTTTTTCCAATAAACGATTAATTACATGAACCATGTATTTTTTATCTGCGTTAAAATTATGTCTTCAAATTTAATTCGATCTATTAAAACATATTAAAAATATTTAGTATTATTAAAGGCGTAACCAATGCACATGCATATTTATATTATCAATATTATTGGTTTAATTAATTAGGTTTGACGTATTTAAAATGTTGCTAATATGAATAATACTAAAACAATCTTATCTTTTGTTTGAAATTTCGATTTAGTTTTGGCTATTGAGTCATACGGTATTTAAATGAATAGCTATTTATTACGTAATTTGATTGATAAATTTCTTCACATACAAATGCATAAGTACTAATATAACATGCATTTGTGCATTACTAGAAATTAATATAATATTAATATAATAATTAATATAACTTTTTTAACAACAATCTATGTTTTTTGCTATTGCACATTCTAATCCACTATTATTCTTGAGGGCGCAACCCAGTGGCCAACCACTTTCCACTTTCCATATATATATTAGATGCATGTGGGTATGTATATGGAGAAATTTTATATATGTTGCTATGATGCACACAAAATGCGATTTTTACTTCAGGTTATATTTGAGATCTCAAGTAGATATTTGATATACTGCTTGACATCAAGCTGGCAGAGGTTGGGATTGAACCCGGAACTAGTTGATGCTAGTTTACGTTCTGAACAAATATACAAATTTTGTAATTTTAAACAAAATTTATAATTTAATATCCTGTGTTCTTACTATGTAGAGTAATAAATCAGAATATTGATTAATAATGATATAAATTTTTAAATAGTTGTTAGAGAATTTCTTCTTAAGTGTCATAACGTAAGATGAAAGAATAGCATAAAGATGAACAGAAAAATATTTTTAATTTAATTTTATCATATCTCAATATGTTTTAACTATTTTAGTTTATTTAATTAGTAGGAGAGACTGTGTACGGTTGTGTACTTTGTTTGATCAGCAATAATTTTGTTAATTTACCAACTTTTTTGACATTTGGGAGCAAAGCAAATTAAATGGTAATTCAAATATTTGTCTACGAGTCATAAAATCAAATTATTAAAGAAAAGGGATAGTGTCACAACCGTCCACGCCCGAGGTTCTCTACAAGCAATTTTGCTTGCCTGGCGCTGACTCAATGCAATAATGGAAATTAGTTTGTACAAACATACTTCATCTGTCTCGCTCTGGACCCTAACTCAAAATCAGTACAATTTAGCTGTTATAACGACCGTCACTACCGTAATCTGACACAACTGTACCCAGTCTCCCCTATTATTAATCACTTCAGAAGTATAAATTCTGCTGTTTAAATAAATCTAGTTTGCGAAAATTAATTAATAAAATAAATTCTATATATAAATTTTAATTTATATTTAATCACTATGATTACCTATGGATACCCATATATCTAATTACAATTTATATTTATTATTTCTGATTATAATTTTTAATTCCTCGTACACTCGTAAAACTATTTTGATACATCTCTACATACATTCTATGTACATTTATTTTGCAACCTTGGCAAAACCTGTTTATTAGTTTGCAAGTTCAACCCAATTTCAAATGGAACGTTTTATGAGAACTCAAGGACTTTACGCAAAAAGTAGTTTGACTTTTCAGCGAATCTGTGGGTCAGAATGTCGTTTTAAAAAAACTTATTTGCTTCATTTTTACACGTCACTTTAGATTAAGAAAAAGATTAGTAAATTTAGACAACAGTGAAGATGATCCTGTAATAAAAAGTTATATTTGGAGTGGAATCGTTTATCCAAGGATGTAATAATAAGCACATCTATAAACGTTTTATGTTATCATATAAGATATTGCTCTATATAAAAAACTTTTTTAGTGCTTATAAGTAATAAAAATTATAGAATGCATGTTAATTACAAAATTTACTAGATGACACTGGAAACTTTAATAGATTCGTATATAGGGGGAAGTCCCTTAGTGGCGGACACCTAAGGTTATTTATAAATAAATCAAAAAATATTTTACGAAATATTTATTAAATTATGATTTAAGTTAGATACCAAGTTAGAAATCAAACTAAAATAACAAAACCGCAATCTTTGCTAAAAAATTATTAATACTGTTAATCAAACTTTGGTATAAAAAAATACTGTTTCGAACAGTGGCACCTAGTACCGGACATTTCAAAATAATCTGCATTGATCATATATGTAGCCATCTCCACACTCTGGAATGTCGGCAAATATGCCTTTGAAGAATAATCTTAGATATTGCAAAAAAAAGTCACTCTGCATCCACCGTTTTGGCTGAGCCACACCGATGCTCTCAGCTGGTGCATTCACCATAAGCTTTTCATTCTTCGACTAAAAAATACGAAATATGGGGGTATGTGGCGACCGTTAGCACTCATACAGAACAAAATTAAATAATTACAACTAAATTTTTCACATATTTGTTTAAAGTTGTTTTTGTACAAAAACCGCAAAAGTTAAGAACAAACCTTGATTTTTTATTATATTTACTCTCGATTATCAATATTAAGAATATTATCTCAATTTGTTATGTCTCAGTCCGGTGTAATTTCACCGAGCCGATGTAGTGAAAGTGTTGCCGTGGTGCGTCCAATTTGCGATTGTGTAATTCTCTTTTGATTACCGGCGAGAGAAAGCATTTCTCCTCTTTCGAATTATAAACATTGACAAAAACGCTCTTCGCATGAGCATGTAAAGTTTACGTCGAAAATTCGATAAAGACAAGTTTTACGAGTTTTTTACTCGTTCGATATGAATAAATCATATAATTAAAATGAATTTCGTAACATATTATTTTATTATTTGCATTTTTTATTGGTTTGTTTTGTATAAGTTTTATTATACAATAAATGATATATTTATAAAAAATATCTGAATTCTTTAAAACTTACATATATATTTTTTATTTACAGATAAATTTATTGCTGGATTTGTGATCTCCATTGGTGAGTAATATTTTTGTAGACTACTACGTAGAATTTAAATAAATATTCCTTGCCATTTTTTACAAAATGCCGATGATTACTTATATGTGCGGATGAAAATTAAGAATACACATTGCATTCAATTTTTATCACTTTTTATTCGATTTATTCAATTATGAGCAGATTATTTGTTCAAATATCAGGATGTTACAATTTAAATAATAATTTACTCTACTTTCCAATCGAAAAACATTTAAAATCATGAGAATCTAAATTACACATGTTCTTTATATTTCAAATATAAATTATACATTTTACACGTAAAATTTAAATATTTTTCTTCATTTACTTTAAAAAATGTCTATGCTCAAGTATATGGTAGAAAGCAGGTGGTAGTAGTAGTAGTAGTAGCAGTATATTAATTTTATTTTTTATCGATTGATGGAAAATTCTTAATTGTTATGCATTTACTTAGGATATATATTTATATAGCAAACACTGCAGTTCCAATTTCATACAATATTTACGGCTTACGGTTTTCGATTTTTGAATTTCGGAGTAAGAGAAAATTTATTAGGATATAAAGATGTCATATAAAATTGTATTTTTGGCAAATGTTGTTCAAAGTGCATTTGGAAATAATACATATTGCATAGAGACAAATAATTCATAAAAATCAACAAACAAATTTAATAGTTCTATGGGGCATAACAAAAAATATATTATTACTTTTGCTCTCGAGAATTAACTATTCACAAAATAAAATTTGCAATAGTAATCTATTTGAACTAGAGATATATTTTTATTTTTTATTTAATAACTTTCAAATGGCAATCAGAGCAATTTACAATTCTATGAGCAATTAAGATATATGTAACTCAGATGCAGAATTTGAAACTAGAAATGTTGATACTTTTTTATGAGCATAAGTTTATTCACTGGAATATATATATATATATATATATATTATTTATTTATTCATGTTGTTATTGACTTAGCTTACTTAGAGCATTTAGCCTTATTACATTTCTTTTACTTTTTATACTATGTTTATTATATCATGTACTATCTTTGTATATCCTATACCATATTTTTTGAAGTAAAACAGAAAAGAAGTGAAGTTGCGAAAACAATATTTGTTTAGGCGTTGTTTAATATAATCCACTGTGTGAACGAATATTATAGAATTTATTAATCAGCAACTATTCATTTCTCTAATAAAGGTTCATTTCTAAATGCTAATTACAATGACAAACCGATCATGTCATATTTGAAGTATGACTTTAATTACATTGTTGTTTTTAAGTATTATACATATTTTTATTGTTATTATTAATATATAATTTATAATTTATCATTATAAAAATGTGTATAATGATTGACACTAATAAATGTGTGCATCGCGAGTGTTACCATATCACTAATAAACATAATTCAAAATTCTTATATGATGTATTTATTTTCACTTAAATGCCATCTTGTACAGTAGCAAATAAGTTTTACTTCAATAGTGTAAACCTTACGCGCACTCTTTTTTTTATAACTAAATTCTTTATTCTTCTTTATTTTTATTCTTTTATAACTTAATTTTTTATCATTTTTGTTTCATTCTTTCATAACTTCATTCTTCATTCTTCTTTAATCTTGCTTCTTCTTCTAACATCTAATTCTACTCTATCTCAATTCAACAATTCCAATACTTCTTCTAAAAGCTATTAGAATTGTACTGTATTCTGATTGCTATTGAATAAAAAAAAATCTTCTTTATTTTAATCCAACAAATCAATTGACAATTATATGTCAGTGTCAGGAGTCGAACCGAGTATCCTTGGGGTGTGAGTTAGGCATGTTACTGACTGGGCTGGTAATGTTAAGAGAGATAGAAAAAGACACGTAACTTTGAGAAATTAAATAATTGTTGAATCAATCATTCATGTGTTATAAAAATAATTCATAGTGATTTGGCACCATGAGCATCAAACATTTTCCGGGCAATTGTTTTAATAAGTTTTAATCTTAGCTAAATTAAAACGTATCTAATAACGTATCTAACGGTCGTCGTTCCCATTAGATTAGTATATAATTTATGTGACGTATCACTTATGTTTAACTTTTACATGCTTACATATTCTGTACATATCGTTGGCCCCATTTCGCATTCCAAATATTATCGAAATGCATCCGTCTGTTTGCCGATGCGTAGTTCAGCTCAAATGAATGAATGTGCTGTCCTGAATCATTTGTATGAATTCTATAATCGATAATACATTTATTGCAATGTGGAATTCACTCCATTCTACTTCAGTTTATGTGTGTAACCTACATTGGACGACAATCAGGAGGTTTAATTTACCGTGAGAATGATTAAATATTATTTCTAACTGTTTTTGCTTATTTTGTATAATATATTTTTATATGAATTTTTTAAATCCTTTTAATTCACATGTTTTATAATTTCGAATTATTAAATGCCAATTGACCCTAAATGTACATAGCTAATTTTATTTTCCTACCTTCAAAGCAAAGTTGGTATAATCTAGAAAATTTTGCGGGATTAATTGAACATGCTTTGTATAATTAAAAATATCTTTATATAAAACACTTGAACATACACAATATTGTTGTCTGAATATTACAATATTCACGTTTCTGGCAATTGAATTATAATTTGTAAAGTCAGTCAAATCTTGAATAATATTTCACCAAATATATTTGTTTTTCATACATTCATTTTGAGGTTGGGATAGAACAATTAAATTCATTTTGTGGAATTTAATAAATAATTTGATATGAGTTATTGAAATTTTAATATTCTTTCTTTATCAATTACATTTTAAATTTTAATTTACTGTAAAGTGTAAATATAATTGCAATTGCCGATTTATTTAAAACAATGATAGCGTTAAATCTTATAGTTAAAGAGTTATTTGTTTTATTTTTTTGCTTATTTTAATAATGTTATTTTAATTTTCAAAGTAATTCTTTGATTTTTATTTTTTTCATCGGCATCAAATGGCTATCAACTATCAAGAAATACTTGACTAAATACATTTTATTTTTCATAGATTTTGGGCTAAAACAGTTATTATTATGCAATTATTTTGTATATTTTAATAAATATCTGTTTATAGGATTTTTAAAAACCCATGAAATTGTCTTCGAAATATTCAATATTCTCTTTTTTGACTATTTTGACTATTTTGACCATTTTTATTGGAATGTGTAAATATAATTGTATTTGTCAAATTATGTAAAAAAATAATTTCATAGATAAAGGTTACTATAGATAGATAGATAAAGTACACTATTGTTCCTAATTTTTGCTTATTATTTTTCTAAATATAATTTTGTATCCTTAAAAACCAATTCACATTTTTCAACCTTTGAATGTTCTTAGCCAATTTTTTTTTTTTTTACATTTAAGGCGATCTTTTCTAAGCTTTGGGATGAAACAATTAAAATTATTTTCTATATTTTAATAAATATCTATATATAAAGCATTTGAATTTCCATGATATTCTATCCATGATATTCTATCTGAATATTCATCATAATATATTTTATTGTAATAAAAAATTATTGCCAAAATGTTTCCAAAAACAAATCATAACTATAATAGAGATTATATTATTACATTTCACTTTGTATTTGATCAAATTTGCATTAATTTCAAATGCTAAACATATACTAAATCAATGATTATTTGTTGGAGTATATGAACAATTATAATTTCTATTATAAAATTTTTAATTTTGTTTTATGGAACAATTTTGCTCACAATACAAACAGATGTTTGCACAACAAGCATTTTTTCAAATATTCAGAAAGCTTAAAAGCTCGTTACTGTACTTTGATTTACGTAATCTACTAAATTAATTTTATATTAAATATTTAATGAAATGTCTAACGTAATGCAATAATACATTTCCTAAAAGCATTCCATATTTACTGTCCAATGACGAATGACTAAATAAATTATACTAAATAATTTATTTTATTATTTTAGATCAATAATTATCTATTCATATACACAATTTCATTATTCTTAGAGAATTTAAAAATATATAAATTATATACAAACGCTACTTTAAATTTAAGGTGCTGAATATTTGTCATGCTGACTACTTTGATACAATACAATAATATATATTAAAAAAGCTTTCACTTTAAGCGCGAGAATTGTGCTGTTACACATATTTTCTAACTTTTTAATACCAATATAACAAGTTACAGAGACATCAGGTTTTAATAAATCAGACACTATAGACATATTATTTATAAAGAGAATAGTTACTTATTTAAGCGTAAAAAGCAAACTTTTCCCATCACCTTTCTCATTCCCTTGGGAAAATACCATTTCTGTCGGCGTAATAGATCCGTATATTTCCGTAAAATCTCTTTACTATTATGATTGTATGATTAATGTTGAAAATATTTATTGCGCTTCGTATGTCTGTTTATATTTATCATTTTTTCTCGCCTTCCGATCACAGATTAATATCTTACAGAGCGAAATCCGAGTCCCATGAGACGACGCCGGTTGCATCATGGATAGATGAAATATATAGGGAAAAGTAATAAGTTCGCTAAAAATACAACTTCCTAGAGACGTCGTATGTAGGGCAATCATTTCGTAATATGGACGTGATCTTCTCACGTAGTCCGTATATAAATATATATCTAGACGGTTGAAATTAATTATTTTACTGCGTCATATATAAAGTAATACTTGATACGATATGCATCGTGAGTCGTAAAATCAGATTCAGTGAATTTATTTTGATATTGCTAAATAAAAATAAAAACAAATATATGTTTTAGACTGTGACGCTTTGAGTGAAAATATTACTATCAACATATTTTTTAAACTAATCCCGGGTTCGCTAGTTCGATCCCAACCACGGCCAAGTCCGACTAAAGCAGCTTTGATGTCAAATTTCTTCTGGAAGCTATAGATAAAAAATATAATATCTTGTAAAACTCGCCTATCGTGGGTATATTGCACATAAAATCATAAAATG